GCATGGCTGGCTGGGGAATTCTGGGAGTTGAAGTCCACACAACTTCAAGTTGCCAGGGTTGAGAAACACTGTCACAGACCAAGTCAGACAACTCCAGACTACCTGCCTCCCTTTGGGGTTGAAGGGAGCTTCCCCCCACAGCTGCTATTGGGAAGGTAGACTGCTCTGACCTGGGGAAGCTCTCCTGGGCTGTCCTCCTTCCATGATTACTCTCCTTTTCCTCCCCGTCCTGCCAGCTTCTGTGCTCACCTACTGTTTTTAAATTCCAGGCGCTGGTTTTCCATCCAGAGTAACCAGCTGGTGTATCAAAAGAAGGCCAAGGTGAGGATCTGCGTCTGGGGGACGGCTAGTTTTTATTTTTGGGAAGGGCCACACACCTAGGAGTGGACTAAGCTTGGTTGAAAGTCTAGGAGGGAGAAACGGGGTCGGTATGTTTCGTTTACATCGGATGAAAAGTCCTTTAGCTATTGATGTGACCTGGTCAACCATACCCCGAGGCGGCTCTAGATTGGCGCATTGCATTAAGGTCCGGTTGACTGTCTCGATCACAGTTATCCACAGACCTGTCTTGTGCTGTGCTGCAAACCAGGGTTTACCCATTGCAACCTTGGGTACCTGCAGCAAGCTAAGCTGGAAGAAAGGAAGCGCCACTGGATCACGATCCGGTGCAAACCTAGCTGGATGAGGCGGCCAGAAGCTTTTTCTCCGAAGCATTTGGGTGGGAATGGGGGCTGTGGGGAGGATCTTCTTGGAGTGGAGCTGAGGACGAGACTGACCAGGTGCGCCACGTCTTTCCTCCCCCAAACGCCCAGGACGCCGTGACGGTGGTCGTGGAGGATCTCCGACTCTGCACGGTCAAGCTTTGCCAGGAACACGAGCGCCGCTTCTGTTTCGAGGTGGTCTCCCCTTCGAAGTGAGTCTACCGTCTCCCCTGTTCTTCCGAGGGCTGGCTTAGGGCTGCCATAGATAGGGGCGTTCACAGCAGGTAGGTCAAAAAAGTCAAGATGATGCCCATGGCCACATGACTGAAGCTTCACTTGTGTGGTCACTGGTGCCGTCTAGATTTTTTGACCCTCCCTCAGGCATCTCTGTCCCGAGAAGACCCAGGATTCCCTTTCCCTGCCTGTCTCTCTTGTATATTGTTTCTCAACCTTAGCAACTTTAAGATAGGTGGAACTCAAATCCCCCAAAATTCCCTTCCCCACGGCCGGCTGGGGGGGTGGTTTTGTTATCTAACACCAACTCTCAAAAAACTAATATTT